GTGGGCCAAGGCAGCCCGAGCCTCATTCCGCATCAAGCGAACGCCTTCAAACAGGACAACATCCTTCACCAGCAAAGGCGCATCGCTTCTGCTGTCAGCGGGTCTGTCGGTGCTCGGCGTTGTCGACGATGCCGCTGCCCTAACTGCCAGGACGCTTCACGAAATAGTACAGGCGCCAAGAAGAAGGAACACATCTGCCATGTCCCGGGATGTGGCAAGCTCTATGCCAAGACGTCCCACCTGAAGGCACATCTGCTTTCACACACCGGAGAGCGGCCTTTCGTGTGTCACTGGATGTACTGCGACAAGGCGTTCACTCGCTCCGATGAACTGCAGCGTCACCTCAGAACGCACACGGGCGAAAAACGTTTCCAGTGTGAACAGTGCGGAAAACGTTTCATGCGATCTGATCACTACAACAAGCACGTCAAGACTCACGAAAGCCGACGCGCCCGTATTGCTCCTGCTTCTCCTGCCGAAGGCGACGAAGTCGATGTTGAGTTGTGTGATGATATTGCTAATGATTATAGCGTGGACTTTCACTCATTCGCATTGCCAGATTCTCCTGTCTCTGAAGCAGATTTGCAGGAGTCCGATTTGGACGTCGGAGGTGCAATGCGCAATTGATACTTTTTCCACGGAGGAAATTGCCTTTGCATCGCTTTGCCAAAGTGAACCTGTAATCCCTGTGAATGCTGTACAGATTACAATAAAAGTAGATATTTTGAAATCCAGGTTGTATAGATAATTTGCAATTCATCCTCAGCAAATTGGTGTTAAACAGTGTCGGATTACAAGTCAGAAGTGAAATACAAAAACGCACATTATGTATACATATCTGTATGCACATATGTCTATGTGTATCTGTATATATACATATATATCTAATATACATATATTAAACATACATATACATATATATCTAATACATATATGAAACATACATATACATATATATCTAATATACATATATTATACATACATATACATATATATCTAATATACATATATTAAATATATATATTCATATATACCCATATACATATATACATATATATACTATTGAAATAGTGGTAGGTCAGCCTTGAAAATCTATCCAGTGAATTAATATCTGTTAAGTGTGTATAGCCCGTTTTATATACCATTTACACTTTACACCTCTAACAATATTGATCATGAAAAAGATGTTTCTAGATTTTTCATGGTAACAGATAAATGATATCTAAACAATCTTGTTTACACCAGAAACTGCCTTAAACACGGTCGCGTAAGATATGAAAAAGAATAATGGGTAAAAAAAGAAATATTCGAGAGATTAAGCGAAAGTTACTATTGATAAATTGTTGATGACCATGAATTTGTTATCGTCAACAAACATGATACTCAGACCCATTACTAAAATATTCATATCTGCCATATAAGATAAAGATGGCCCAAGATTTCACTTCAACAAATTCCAGCTTAAAGGCGACGGCATAAGCCAGTGAGTAGGGAAAAAATGTTTTATGATTTAATGTTAACTTCTCCAAAATCAGCACATACTTTTTTTGCATTTGATTATTAAAGGTTTAACTAAGATGCGTGATTAAACGGTATTTCTTGTTTGCCAAATGACTGTCTGCGATATTTCGTTTTACACACTCACGTGTACACAGACATACACATATATATATATGTATGTATGCTTGTGTGTATACATATCTATAATGTTTATACACATATATGTATATATACTTCTCCCCTCCCCCTCTCCTCCCCTCATCAGATTTCTCCTCCCAGGCGGTCACACAACTCCACCCCGGACTGCATCCCATTACGCTACTGGGAGCTTAATAGACCAAGAAAACTGGGACTGCAAATAAGACAAGAAACAAACCGTACTTAATATGAGAGGGTTATTGATTCGTGTGCCGCCCACTACCTTGTAGCGCCTCATTAGCACACCTTAATCTAGGAATCTGAAATGCTGGTGGCTATAGCGTGTCGGCTATTAACCTCCTGTCATTATTATTTGCAGAAATTTATTCTAGTAAGCATTTTGTGCCTGTACTATTATTCTTGCCTACGACGTACATTACTTGAGTTATAAGCTTTGGTCATGCTATTTGACTCATACACATTTTTCCCCTTGTGAATCATAATGAAAAAAATATATATATATATACGTCTTGGAGAAAAGGAGTTTACAAACAGCAAGTCGCTGTTTTCGGAACTGCTGCCTTCCTTTGTGAAGGCGGGGCAGCGAGGCGGGAGAAGCGGCCAGGGGCGGGTTGGGGCTCAGGGCAGGAGGGGCGGAGGGCGGAGCACGGCGAGCAACAAAGAGGCTGAACTCGATTATGACCTCATCATCACCTGTTCCTTCTGCATTGTAACTTGATTTATGACCCGGAACTAATTTTTCAATGATTGAGGCAAAGGCAGAGATAGTGATTTCTTTACTTTTAAACTCCTGTCATTGCACCCTAGAATATATGACTGTATTCAAATCAAGGACCTTAATAAGTCCAGAATATATTTCGAGAAAGCCATCAAGTTAAAGTGTATTGTGACTTTCCTCTGGCCTCCATTTGATCTTTGACATTGCACCATTCCATAGTTTGCATTCTAGCGTATAATTAAAAAAATAAAGCCATTGCAGCCTTTTCCTCCAAGCCTTCTTCAGTGATCTTGTAAAAAAGTTTAGGAGGGGATGAGAGATCATGCGAGGACGGGGGAGGGGTGGTTAAACTTTTCAATATTCTTTGTTGCGTCATCCTGTAACGCTTCGTAAAATCATGATGCATAAACACACACATAGGTATATGTATACATATGTATATACATATATACAGATATATAAACAGATACATATACAGATACATATATAGATATACATACAGATACATATATAGATATACATACAGATACATATATAGATATAAATACAGATACATATATAGATATATATACAGATACATATATAGATATATATACAGATACATATATAGATATATATACAGATACATATATAGATATATATACCGATACATATATAGATACATATATACAGATACATATATAGATACATATATACAGATACATATATAGATACATATATACAGATACATATATAGATATATACAGATACATATATAGATACATATATAGATATATATATACAGATACATATATAGATATATATACATATACATATATAGATATATATACAGATACATATATAGATATATATACAGATACATATATAGATACATATATACAGATACATATATAGATATATACAGATACATATAGATATATATACAGATACATATATAGATATATATACAGATACATATATAGATATATATACAGATACATATATAGATATATATACAGATACATATATAGATATATATACAGATACATATATAGATATATATACAGATACATATATAGATATATATACAGATACATATATAGATATATATACAGATACATATATAGATATATATACAGATACATATATAGATATATATACAGATACATATATAGATATATATACAGATACATATATAGATATATATACAGATACATATATAGATATATATACAGATACATATATAGATATATATACAGATACATATATAGATATATATACAGATACCAGATACATATATAGATATATATACAGATACATATATAGATATATATACAGATACATATATAGATATATATACAGATACATATATAGATATATATACAGATACATATATAGATATATATACAGATACATATATAGATATATATACAGATACATATATAGATATATATACAGATACATATATAGATATATATACAGATACATATATAGATATATATACAGATACATATATAGATATATATACAGATACATATATAGATATATATACAGATACATATATAGATATATATACAGATACATATATAGATATATATACAGATACATATATAGATATATATACAGATACATATATAGATATATACAGATACATATATAGATATATATACAGATACATATATAGATATATATACAGATACATATATAGATATATATACAGATACATATATAGATATATATACAGATACATATATAGATATATATACAGATACATATATAGATATATATACAGATACATATATAGATATATATACAGATACATATATAGATATATATACAGATACATATATAGATATATATACAGATACATATATAGATATATATACAGATACATATATAGATATATATACAGATACATATATAGATATATATACAGATACATATATAGATATATATACAGATACATATATAGATATATATACAGATACATATATAGATATATATACAGATACATATATAGATATATATACAGATACGATACATATATAGATATATATACAGATACATATATAGATATATATACAGATACATATATAGATATATATACAGATACATATATAGATATATATACAGATACATATATAGATATATATACAGATACATATATAGATATATATACAGATACATATATAGATATATATACAGATACATATATAGATATATATACAGATACATATATGAATATATATACAGATACATATATAGATATATATACAGATACATATATAAATATATATACAGATACATATATAGATACATAAGTATGGATATATATGTATATGTATGTGTGGGTATATATGTATGTATATTTAATACATGTATATTAAATTTATATATGAATATATACACATACACATAGACATATGCATACAGATATGTATATATAATCTGTGTTTTTGTATTTCATTACTAACTTGTAATCCGACACTGTTTTCTACCAATTTGCTGAGGATGAATTGCAAATTATCTATACAACTTGAATTTCAAAATATCTATTTTTATTGTAATCTGTACAGCATTCACAGGGTTTACAGGTTCACTTTGGCAAAGCGATGCAAAGGCAATTCCCTCCGTGGAAAAAGTATCAGTTGCGCATCGCACCTCCGACGTCCAAATCGGACTCCTGCAAATCTGCTTCAGAGACGGGAGAATCTGGCAATGTGAATGAGTGAAAGTCCACACTATAATCATTAGCAATATCATCACACAACTCAACATCGACATCGACGTCGACACCTTCGGCAGAAGCAGGAGCAATACGGGCGCGTCGGTTTTCGTGAGTCTTGACGTGCTTGTTGTAGTGATCAGATCGCATGAAACGTTTTCCGCACTGTTCACACTGGAAACGTTTTTCGCCCGTGTGCGTTCTGAGGTGACGCTGCAGTTCATCGGAGCGAGTGAACGCCTTGTCGCAGTACATCCAGTGACACACGAAAGGCCGTTCTCCGGTGTGTGAAAGCAGATGTGCCTTCAAGTGGGACGTCTTGGCATAGAGCTTGCCACATCCCGGGACATGGCAGATGTGTTCCTTCTTGGCACCTGTACTATTTCGTGAAGCGTCCTGGCAATTGGGGCAGCGGCATCGTCGACAACGCCGAGCACCGACAGACCCGCTGACAGCAGAAGCGACGCGCCTTTGCTGGTGAAGAATGTTGTCCTGTGCGAAGGCGTTCGCTTGATGCGGAATGAGGCTCGGGCTGCCTTGGCCCACCAAAGGTCCAGCGAGACTGGCGTGCTGCTGATAAAGATGGAATGGATAATCATAAGTGGCGTGAGAAGTCGGCGTGTTATAAGCAGTTGAACTCCACCAGGACGATGTGTGCGCTTCCCTCGTGGGCGTGACGGGTTTCTCGGGCGGAGGGGAGAGCGTGGGCGGTGAAACAGCGTTAGCAAGGGCACCGTAGTGGTGCTGCAGGTTCGGATAGGGAAGCTCCCCGACACCGCTGTACAAATTAGGCGGTGAAACGCTGCTGATCTGCCCACGGACGCCAGGAAGAGTCAGGGTGGGAGTGTGTTGGTGGTAAGGAGTGAATGCATTTCTAGCATAAAGACTGCTGTAATAATTCATGGTTGTTTCCTCAACTGTGCCACAAGAATACATCTCAGTGCCGTTGGTTCCGCAAGGAGCAGGTGGAGCGAGGAGAGTGAGGTGGACCTTACCTGTGAGCAATGATATACCTGTCCTGGGAATGCGGATTCTTTCGGCCATCTTTCAGGTACTGCCATTGTACGCAAATGTATTTTATTTTCGATTATTTTTCTTTATATGATGATTATTACTTTGGGTATGCTCATTTGGATCTGAATATACAATAACAAATAAGTAAAACACACACATGATTTTGATTTTACGTCACGAACTCCCTCGCAAGGTAAAGACGGTGCCTTCTTTGGAATGATTTTGGTTCTGGCATGTGGCGATAGTTGGCCCGAGTGGATACCCTTCCGTTTAATCTCGGACCCTTGGTGCCTGAACCATGGCGGCCGCTATGGCACATGTACATATATATGTATATGTATGTGCGCATATATAGAGAGATAATGTACATGCACATGTACATATATATGTATATGTGTGTGCGCATATATAGAGAGATAATGTACATGCACATGTACATATATATGTATATGTGTGTGCGCATATATAGAGAGATAATGTACATGCACATGCACATGACTTAGGTTACCCTGGTATTACTCGTTTACTTAGGATCACTGTAATTTTTGCATTTATTTTATATGTGCACTTTCTTCGACAACTTAGAAAACTTCGTCAATACCTCAGTGAGGTACTTTTTCAAAGCTCCATCATCATAGTCGTTCTCAAGGGATGTTATACAGTTAGCTATGATGTAAGGTATGTATTGTGCGGACCATTCTCATTTTATCTGAAGTTCATGGACATTCGAAAACAATATTCCGAAAAAAAGTTTAATGAGTTGGAAAGCAAATCGGAGAGGGGGAGGGGAGAGAGGAACAAGAGAAAGGGAGGTCATCTCTAATACGTAATTCGAAGACACGTCACTTCTTGTTAGCCGAAACCCGCCCATTGCCCTTGAAAATGTATAGGAAAATATAAGAATTTCACCTTGTTCTGCAGAAGTTCCCAGAACGGACTATAGAGGGGCCATGGGCAGGAGGAAGGACCGTAGGTAGGAGGAGGGGCTATTAGCAGTAGGGAGTCCATGGGGGGAGGCACCATGGGCGGATGGAGAGGCCTTGGTCAGGAGGAAAGGCCGTGAGCAGGAAAATGGGTCATGTTTAGAAGCAACAAAAAGATTGAGCTTGATTATGATTATCTGTGATTTATGATCCGGAACCAATTGCTCTGTAATCGAGACTAAACTCTTTGTCGTTTTGCTTTAGACAAAGAATATATAAAGGATAAACGTTAACACGGGAGATTGTGCTCATTTTCCATTTGTAGAAAGAACATTATGCGGATGAATGTCTGAGGCGCAAGTGGCATATCTTGGACTCAGTGGTTACCCTTTTTCTTCGTAGCCTCCGTTTTCATACTCCCAACTTGACAAAGGCCTACTTTCCAGTCAATACCATGACATGATTAAACGCCTACTCTGGAGGTAAGTCTATTGGAAGTTCCTTAACATTTCACTTTATGTTATGAAAAAAAACAGAATTTACAGGGATGGCTGAAATCATCTGCGGTATTGATTCAGTACTTACTTACTGTTTATAGTGGTGAGTTTTGACTTAACTTTAA